CAGGCCCTAGATGTTGACTCCAGGCCATACAAGGCCTTCCTAAGGAGATACATCTTATCTTCTTGCCCTTCAACTTCATACCCTTCAGGTTGTTCTACAAAAATTTCTTAATCAAGCCACTCATTTAAGAAAGCAGACTTCACATCAAGTTGGAAAATTTTCCACTTGAATTGGGCTGCAAGTGCTAGGAGAAGTCTTATTGTGTCATGCCTTGCTACATGTGCGAAAGTGTTAGAAAAATCCACTCCAAATTGCTACGCATAACCCTTTACCACAAGCCTTGCTTTATACCTATTGACTAAGCCATATGAATTCAGTTTCTTCTTATAAACCCATTTCACCTGGATGACTTTCCTCCCAACTGGGCTGTCCACTAATTCCCAAGTGGCATTTTTCTTTATCATCCCTAACTCCTCTTTCATTGTTACCTTCCATTCTTTTAACCTTGCGACTTCAGGGTAGCATGTTGGCTACATCAAAGCCATGTTACATCTCTCATAAATCTCTGCCAAAGCTCTTGTGCCCTTGACAAGAGCTTCTACTTCAGAATCTGAGCTACAATCTGAAGCTTCTTAGTTGTCTGATAGATCTCCTCCTTGCTCCAACATTCCTTTCTTCTCAACTTCATTTCTTCCCCAATTCCACAGAGAGGCTTCATCTACCTTCACACCTTGGTTTACTAAAAACTTTTTTGTCTTAGGATTATAAATCCTATATGCTTTCGACATGCTGTTGTACCCAACTAGAATTCCAATTTCAGCCTTCTCATCCAATTTGCCTCTTTTACTGGCTGGAATATACGCATAGTAGATACTCCCAAACACCTTGAGGTTGTCAATGCTTGGCTTTACTCCATACCAGGCCTTAAATGGAGTCTTGTTGCCAAGGGCTTTAGTTGGCAGCCTGTTCAGCAAATACACTGCTGTATTTACAGCTTCTACCCAGAATTTGGGAAGTCTTTTCTTATACAGCATGCACCTAGCCATCTCCATTACAGTCCTATTTTTTCTTTCACTCACACCATTTTGTTGTGGTGTGCATAGACTGCTCAGTTGGTTCTTTATTCCAACTCCCACACCCAATTCTTCAAACTGATTTAAGGTGTATTTTGCACCATTATCACTTCTAATTGTCTTCAGACTTAAACCAGTTTGATTCTCCACTATTTGCTTAAATTTCTTAAACATTACTGCCACCTCACTCTTTTGCTTTAAAAAATACACCCAACACATCCTGGAAAAATCATCTGTAAACAGGAGGAAGCACTTACTACCATTCAAGTAAGAGACTTACATAGGTCCACACACATCCGTGTGCATGAGCTGAAGTTTTTCAGCAACTCTCTAGGCTTGATTTACTGGGAATGGTTGTCTATTGAGTTTTCCTATTTGACAGATTTGGCACACTCCTCCTTTCTCCTCAATTTCAAGCATATTTTGGACAAGGCCTTTCCTCTTCATCTCCTTGAGGCCAATATAATGAAAATGGCCAACCCTTTTGTGTCATATTTCTATCTCATCAAGCTTGGCAGACAAAGCTTGAGAAATTGATTTCCTCCACTCAATTGGAAAACTTTTTCCTAGCATTCCCACTCTCATCAATTCATTGTCACAACTATCAACTACAATGCATGGCATATTTTGAAAATGCAAGAAGTAATTCTTTTCTGACATTTGACCCACACTCAGCAGACTTTGATTAATTTCAGGCACATAAAGAACATTTGAAATGTATTTTGTACCTGATGGAGTTGGAACAGCAACCTCACCTCTTCCCTTGACCTCCAGAAATCCTACATTTCCAATCTTGACTCTAGATTGATAGGAATTATCAAGACTCACAAAGCTTGCCAAGTTTGGAGTCATGTGGTTTGTATAGCCACTGTCAATCAACCAGACATCACCACAAATTTTCTGATTCGAACATGAGGCCATGAAGAGCTGCTTACCTTCTTGACTTGGCTGTTAAATCTCCACCACCTGAGCTTGTTGCTCCTATTGATTTCCCTTGTTTTTACACACTTTTTCTGTGTGACCGAATTGCTTGCATGACCTACATTGTATGTCAGGTCTAAACCAGCATCTACTTTCTGAATGGTTCTTCTTTTTGCATTGTAGGCATGGAGGAAATGACCTCATTCCACCACGTTTTCCTCCCTGAAAGTTACTCTTCTTTTTTCCCATCTTCTCACCAACATACTTCTTGTCTTCCCTTTGGTATACTCTTCCTTTCTGACTTGCAACCATGGTTGCCTCATTTGAATCTTCTTCCCTCAGCAGCCTTGTTTGCTCCTAAGCTTGAAGTGAATGGACAAGTTCAACCAAACTGATCTGGGACAGATCTTTAAAGTCTTCTAGGGATGAAATTTTTGCTTCAAATCTTTTAGGCAAACTGACCAGGACCTTCTCCACTATCCTCTTATTAGTCAGCTCCTTACCAAGCAACTTAATTTTATTCACCACGTTCATAAGCCTATCCACATACTCCTTGACAAACTCAGCCTCTTGTATGTTAAGCATCTCAAATTCTCTCCTCAAATTTAGGACTTGCATGTTGCGGGTCTGACTACTTCCTCCAAACTCCTCCTTGAGGATGTCCCAAGCTTCTTTGGGAGTTTCACACGCCATGATCCTGGAGAAAACTTGGTCAGTGATAGCTGAGTGTATGCATGAAAAAGCTCTTAGAGTTTTGGCTAACTCTTTTTCATGAATTCTCATCTGGTTTAGCGTCAGGTTTGATCCAAGTTAAGGAACTTGCCTCTCCTCCTCCACATATTGCCACAAACCATGGCCTCTCAAATAGGTCACACCCCAAGCATGGAATTGATCACTGTTGAAGATAGGTGGAGAAAGTGGAGTTGGGTTTGATGCCATGAGGAAGCTCACGTATGGTGTTTTTGGTCCTAAGAGATCAAGGATGGCTCTGATACCAATTGTAGGTTTTAGAACTGGATTATACTTAGAGAAAGAAGGCTAACGTGCATGTCAGAGAGAATTATATAGAGAGAAAAATTTTAACGTGTATCTACTCTGTTTTCGTTCATAGACAAAGGAGATAAATACACAAAGTTCTCACTGTTTCAACAACTCTTGCAGTGAGAAATTTTTGCAAACCAAGGCAAACCAAACAACTCTAACTAATACTGATTTGCAATGTCAAAAGTGGCCTTAATCACCAGCTGTCATCACCTAAACATCACATAACAATTTCAGAAAACAACCAAATACAGCATTTGAAAAACATCCTAACATAATCAAACTTGGCGCCAAAATACAAACTTTGAGCAGCAAACCTTTTTCCAGCAAGATATCACAGATTTTAACAGAGATGGCTTACAATTCGGTGTCACATCCGACTGCTTATGCTGCTGCTATAGATAAAATAGAAAGGCATTTCCAAAATAGGCTCAAGATTTGGTTGGCAAATTGGCTGCATTCTTATTTCTCTAGCCCTTGGACCGTTCTCAAAATTGGTGTTATTGTAGCCCTTCTCCTAAGTGCTATTCAGACTTACGATTCGCTGAAGTCTAGTAATTGCTAATATACCAATACATTATTTACTTTCATCGTTAACCTCTCATATGTTTTTGCGAGGTAAACATATGTGAATTTTATGATATGAAATTATTAGTAGGTAATCTTCTGAATTCAGGAATCTTTCACTTTTAAACGCGAAAAATTCTAATGCTTGCAATTGTTACTATATATAAAGTATATTTGAACCAAATAAAATTTTAGTGTTTGGTGAGCTAGATTAAGATTTGATCAACGAGGATTTATGGAGGGAGAACACTACCATAAAATTTATTCATGAAATTGGGATAATATTTTGCAGGTATTGGGAGCAGCGTCAATGGTCACTAATTCTTAAAGATGATGTTGCTTCACCTGGTGGGACTACTATCGCTGATGTTGATGAATGATGTTCATCAATTGGAGAAGGATGGACTTCGTGGGATCGATTTTAATGAATGCTGCTGTTGTTGCTGCTGTCCTAGAGCTAATTCATGGTGATTTTCATCTCATTATTATTAGTTCCAAAATTTGACCACATTTTAAACACCCATAATAATAATGAATGGTTAAAGGAAATATCATTGGTGTGTGCTTCACTTATCTATTCATTGTTTTTTGAGATGACAGATTTCCTTGTAGAAGATTTATTTTTGTACTGTTCTATGTTCTTTGCTTTATGCCTTGCTTGAGGTAGCTATTGCCATTGGAATGCCCCCGGCTTGATTCTGCAACCCACATGTTACATGCCTCTGAAAAGGGAACCTAGTTAGATATGATGTCCAAGTAAAGTGTCTGTGGGTACAGTAAGGCCAGAATCCTTGAGGGTTCCATAATAGAGTTTTTAGAAAGCAATCGAATCACTTGAAATTATATTTCATATTGAAATGAATCACAATTGGTATGAAGTTGGTCAATGATGATTGAGCATTTACGCATCTCGAGTGTCTATTTGTTTTTTTGTCTGTTTCTTCAATCGGAATATGGTTCAGGCTATTAGACTTGTAATTTATACCATGAAATATAAATTTATAATCTTGAAGGTGAGGCTAGTGACTGAAGAAACATCATAATAAGGGTGAAGACTTTTAGCTAACCGTACGTACAATCAGGCAATTAGCAATATGTTAAAGGCAACATCGTTCATAAAAAGATGTAGTGCATATTGTTCTTGTGATGGGGGCCATCACCTTATAATAGAATAAATTAGAGGAAACTCTTTTTCTAACTAAAGATTATAAAACATTCCACAGTCATACTTATAAATAATATGGTACATAATTATTCTCACTGTTTAATGTGGTTATTCTTTAAAACTGGTAGCTGCAGCAATTCCAAGCTTGATAACAGAGAAAAGTTGAGATACTTGCTTCAAATCACAAGTAGACTGTTATTTACGATTGGATGTTCAATCAAATTTATAAGCAAGCTCAGGACTTGCTAAACTGATAACATAACCAAACCATACTTGAAATACAGAGAGTAATAATGGGAGAAAGAGAAGCCGGTTCCAGCAGCAGCCTAGCAGGTGGTGGTGAGACTCCATTACATAGTATTGTAGTCCAAAAAGAAAATGATGCCAATACAGCAGTTCCTCTTTCTAAGAATGAAAAAAAGTGGCTTGAATCTTTCGTGAATCTTTCTAAGAATCATCACGAGGTGATCAGGACAAAGATAGAGAGAGTTCCAGCAATGCTTCGTGAGGTTAAAGATAACAGTGGTTGCTATGATCCTCTGGTGGTTTCAATCGGTCCTTACCACTATGGAAATACCAGGCTTGAGCTAATGCAGCGGCACAAACAAACAATGGCGCTCCAGTATGTAGATGGGGACTTGAAGCTGCTGGAAAAGTTGTATCAGGATGTCAGGCGCGTGGCAGAAGCTGCAAAACAATGCTACACTGACCAGAGCTCCGTCGGCAAGTTCAACAACGAGGACTTCTCTCAGATAATGTTTCTTGATGCCTGCTTCATCCTCCGGTTCATCTACTGCATTGCAAAAGATGAACCAAAGGCTTTGCAGATAAAAAACAACATGATAGCTCTTGTTAAAAGAGACTTGTTCTTACTGGAAAATCAAATTCCTTTTCAAGTCGTCAATAAATTGAGCTTCAAGTTCGGAGATGAAACCGAAAAGAAGGAAATGTTAAATAAATTTGTTACAAACATCCGTAGTCTTCCTCCTAAAAGTGACAAGAAAAATTTTCCTTTTAATTTATATTTTTGGAAAAAAGAAGAGGAGCAACATGCAAAGGAAAAAGAAGGAACATCAGATGATGAACCTGCTCATCTTCTTGACCTTGTGCGCTCCGATCTCTTTGTAAAATCCGTTTGGTCTCAAAAGCCTACTAATTGGTTTTCTTGCCGGTCAGTGAAGGAGCTCAAGGAGGTGGGAATCCATTTCAGGTCTAGCAAGACTAACAAATTCACAGACGTTGCTTTTCAACCCGGGTATCTCGCAAAACTGGAACTTCCACCAATATACATTGATGATTCAACAAAGTCTATGCTGCTAAACGTGGTAGCATACGAGTGTAGCCCCAATGGTCCTGACGATTTTGGAGTTTCTTCATACATATGCCTGATGGATTCGCTTATTGATCATGAGGAAGATGTTAAGGAGCTTCGATCAAAAGGTATATTTCTGAATTTTCTAGGGAGTGATCAACAGGTTGCTGATCTTTTTAATGAGATAGCTGATAATTTGGTGTCACACCCACATGCATATGCGGCTGTTAAAGATGGAATAGAAAAGCATTACAAAAACAGGTTGAAGATTTGGTTGGCAGAGTGGTTGCATACTCATTTCAGTAGCCCTTGGACGGTTCTTGCTTTTATTGGTGCAGTTTTAGCACTTGTCTTGACTGTTATTCAAACTTTAGAATTGTTTAAGCCAAGTAAGAGCTAATGTACACCATTACATTTATGTACAATATAATGTTCGTCTGTATTTATTTTTGTGTGGCAATTACATATGTATTTTTACTTACTTGAATAAAATATGAGGTGTGATTTTATTGATATGACTTTATTATTATCAAGTAATCTTTTTGAATTCAGGAATGTTTCACTTTTAATCGGAAAACATTATAGGATTTCTAATGCTTGCAATTGTTACTATATATATATAAAGTATATGAGAATCAACCAAAACGGAGAAGTTTCAACGTCAGAGACAAAGACTGTGTCAAGAGTGTGGCAAAATGTTTTACTAATTAAAGAGCAACCATAGTAGGCATTGATAGACCTACTGAGGGACCAGTGGGGGTTCGTGACCCCACTGAAAATTTTTAATTAATTTGAGGGTATTTGGGTTAAAGTTTATAGATTTGATCTCGCTCACTTTTTCTCTATGTAAATTAAATTAGTTATAATTCCATTCTACTCAGTTTTTCATCTAATTATATTAAGTTGTATAACTTGTCCCCCTAATAGTGAGAGACCACACCAACAATAAATCAAAATACAAATATTAACTAACGCATAATATTTTTCTTCATTTTATATATAACAGATCAGTTTAATTTATTAATCTCATCTTATATTAATTCTTGATTCATTAAACTACTTTTGTTGTACACTATGATATTTAATATAGTATATAGTATCAATACCAATATTAGAGTTATTAATTTCTTATATTATGATTTGATTTTTTTAAATCTTTTTTTCAATCTTAAAGATATAAATGTATGAAATAGATAAATGAAAAGAAAGATGTAAGATTTACTTGTATTATTAACTAATCTTTGTAGTAATTTCTACTAATTTCAAGTCATATCCTACAAAAATACTTTAACTCTATAATGAGTGGGATGGGGAATGGAGAAAGCCTCCCCGTCCCTAAACCGATGAGAAAATTGTTAAAGTTGATGAACTCTAGTTAATGTTTAGATACCCATTTTTAAAGTGTAGTGGCAGTTTTTACCAAACTGATTAATGGTTATCAAGTTAAGCATAAATCAACATCTATAAACAATAAATGTAAAGCACACTAGCATATATATGGTTCGGCTAAAACCACTCTTAGCCTACATCCATGGGATCTCATATAGATCGAAGCAAATTCACTAAACAACAAACATTAAAAGATATAGTTCAAAGTTGATTTTAGCTACAGCAAAAGAGAATTCCCTGTTCTAGTTACACTAAACATCTCTCTCTCTGAATCTCTAATGTCTTGTTGTTCCAAATACCTCTTCATGTTAGGAACACGCCCAAAGAACAATTGAGCTCCACCCAAGCTTTACACGCCAAAGCCACGCTCTAGCATCAACAAGAACCAAGTTCCAACCACCATTCAACAAGTATATGAGATGATGCAAATTTGGCACAATAACATAGCATGAACCTTCTAAGGAAAGACACTTTCTAAAAATTTCAGAGCACAAGCAAATAAAATATCAAAAGGTTAGTCACAAATGCGCAAGATTAAAGATAATACAAAGGAGTTTTCTTGCTCAACAATTTGTGCCAAGTCAGCAAACAAGAGCTGACTCATGTTTGTCCAAATAAGGAAAAGATTCCAACTTTAATTTTAGACCACGACCAAATCAGAAAAAAACATGGTTTTTCTCTTGGACCACGAAAGGATATTGTGACACCTGTATATGGTCCTTAAGACATCTCAAAAGATAAGAATAAATATCTTTGCTGCTTTAGGCAAAAATGCAACTTGTATCAAGTTGAAAATATCTTATGCAAGTGTGCGAGCACAGAACTGTTGTGCACACGCTCGAGATAAACAAGCCAGAAACGTAAGTTTGACAGACTTGTGCACACACACAATTGTTGTGCACACATACAACATAAGTTTGACAAAAATATCCTACAAAAATGATGAAGTTACACTGCAACTTGAAACAATTGTGTTCGATAGTTTTTCCATTATCTTAGAACCATCTCACATCTCTTCAGACTTGAATATGAGTAAAATTTATGAAGTGAGTTTTTCATTTCTTTCTCTTCAGTTTTATATTTCTGGGATTATGTATTTTCTAATTTCTTGCCTCTTTCATGCAATTGTTTTCTTAAGCTTCAGCATTAGTATTATTTTATTTCTAATTAATACTGCACAGCCAACTAAAGTATTTCTTCTTCAGGTATTAGAAGCAGCATCAATGATCACTAATTCTTAAAGAAGATGTTGCTTGCTTCACCCAGTGGGACTCCTATCGGTGATGTTCAGGAATTAAAGAAGGGTGGACTTCGGGGGATCGATTTTAATGAATGCTGTTGTTGTTGCTGCTGTCCTAGAGCTAATTCATGGTGATTTTCATCTCTTTATTATTAGTTGGAAAATTTGACCACTTTTTAAACACCCATACTAATAATAATGAATTGTTAGAGGAAATAGCGTTAGTATATGTTTCACTTATCTATTTACTGTTTTTTTAGATGATAGATTGCCTTGTAGAAGATTTATTTTTGTACCGTCTCTCATTTATGACTAAGTAAAGGAAGTTCTGATAAGGATGTGTTTGGTAGAGTATCTTAAGTAGTATTTTTGAAAAAGTTGAGTTGGGTTATTATTACAATAATAGGATTTAAACTAGAAAATGTGTTTGGTAAATGTTTGGAAAATATTTTTTGAAAATATTTAGATTATTTTTTAATCCCCTATATTTGTTAACTTAGCTAAACACCCTTTACAATAAAACAATAAAAATTAACAAAAATACCCTCACCCACCATTAAATGCTGGTAGCTGGCCACCATTACTGGAGGGTAACCGAAAGTCGCTGAAATGGCACACGACCGGCAAGATCTGGTTAGAAAATGTCAGATTTACGACTAAAGATATAGTCATTAATAGCCAAATCTAGTCGTCAACGACGGCCATATCTTGGCTGTCGTTAACAACTAGATATTGCCAGATGTGGCCATCAACGGCAAGATCTTTAACCATAAATCTGACTTTTTTCGGCTAGATCCACCATAGATCTAGCCAGAAAATGTCAGATCGGTGCACGACCGTCACATCTAGCCAATCGTGCGCCATTTTGGTATATTCTGACCACATTTTGTTGTGGTAGCCAGCTGTTGGAAATATATGGATGGGTGGGGGTGTTTTTGTCAATTTATAAACTTTTATTGTTGGAGGTGTTTAGTTAAATTAACAAATCTATGTTGTTAGAAAATCTAAATATTTTGAGTTGAATAGAATATGATCGGATTTTTGATAATATTGAAACAAATATGTATTTTGTGTAGAATTGAATTGGAAAAAATGAAACAAACACATGTTACATGCCTTTGAAAATGGAGCCCAGTTAGATATGATGATCAAATAAAGTGTTTGTGGGTACAGTAAGGCAAAACCCTTGAGAATTCCATAATGGAGTTTTTAGAAAGCAATCGAATCACTTAAATTATAATTCATACTGAAATGAATGGCAATTGGTAATTAGAGTTGGTCAATGATGCTTGAGCATGTACTCGTTTTGAGTGTCTATTTGTTTTTTTGTCTGTTTCTATGGGTTGATCATCAGTTGGAATATGGTTCAGGCTGTCAGATTTGTGATTTATACCATGAAATATAAAATTTATAATATTGAAGGTGAGGCTTGTGACTGAATAAACATCAGATTAAGGGTGAAGACTTTTAGCTAACAGTAACATACACTTAGCAATATGTTAAAGGCAACATCGTTTTGTCTATTACAAGTTTTTTATTAGATTTGAAGATAAGAACTTTGTAGCTAAATTTGTTTAAACAAGAATTAAAGGTACATATTTAATATTTTCTTTTGTTTTTGCATGATTATACTACTTTTTGTTTTAAATATTGAAAATGCTACTACCAACTTTAGATTACTTGCTTAGTTAATTTGTTCATAAAAAAGATGTAGTACGTAATGTTCTTGTGATGGGGGCCATCACCTTATAATAGAATAAATTAAAGGAAACTCTTTGACGAACTAAAGATTATAATACATTCCAAAGTCGTACTTATGAATAATATGGCACATAATTATTCTCACTTTCTAACTGGTTACTCCTTTAAAAAGCTAGCAGCAACAATTCCAAGCTTGATAACAGAGAAAAGTTGAGATACTTGCTTTAAATCATAAGTAGACTGTTACTTGCTATTGTTTTGTTTCATCAAATTTTTAAGCAGCTCAGGACTTGCTAAATTCATTTGCATAAACTGATCATAACATAACCAAACCATACTATTGAAATACAGAGAGTAATAATGGGAGAAAGAGAAGCCGGTTCCAGCAGCAGCCTTGCAGGTGCTGGTGAGAGTCAATTAGAGATTGTAGTACTCCTTGATGACAATGCACTAATTCCTGTTTCTGACGAAGTGAAGAAGTGGCTTGGTTCTATCTTGAATGGCGAGAGCACCGAGAATCAGCACGAGGCAATCTGTTCGAAGATGGAGAAAGTTCCAGGGATGCTTCGTGATGTTAAAGAAAATAGTGGCTGCTATGTTCCTATGGTGGTTTCAATTGGCACTTATCACCATGGGAAGTCTGGGCTTAAGTTAATGCAGAAGCACAAACTTACAATGGCGCGCCAGTATGTAAAAGGGGTCGACCCAAAGTTGCTTGAAGAGTTNGTAAGACTGGAGGCTTTGACCACCCTTATGCAACAAAACTCAGACAAGATGGCCGCACTGGAAGCCGAAAACACATCCATCAGGGTCGAGAACCAGTCGCTAAAAGAGAAAGTAAGTCGATTCTATGAACTCGAGTTTCTGCCTGACCAAGCACCCCCCAATCGGTTCCGCACCATTATCCCATCCATGCAACTCGTCTCCACACTAGAGCATCAACCCTCAGATTCTGGTAAAGGGCCGCGTCCGCTTAACGCATTGGCGCCTGACTACTCCGTTTTGACTAACGGAGATAAAGATACAACAGGGCACGGTCTAGTGGACCCATCCCAGCCTCATGATCAAAA